CCAGAACCACTGAGCTAAATCTCCGGCCCTGACACTCTATATATCAAGAATGGGAGGGCCGGGGATTGAGCTCAGTGGTGCTGTGCCTGTCCTGAGTTCAATCCCCAGTAACCCCCCCAAAAATACATATGGTTTCCAGTAGTCTTTTTCTGTGCCTAAATATAAATGTGGACACTTACTGCACATGTCATTTACAGTTTGTATTTTCTACTAACTAGTATATCGTCATCATTGTTCTACATCATCAAATATTTTACAGTATCAATCCCTTCCCTTCGTCTGTCTCTTCCTTCCTCCCTCCTCCTCTTTCTTCCTCCCTTCCTTTCTGTGGTACTGGGGATTGAATCTAGGATCTCACACATGGTTGGCAAATGCTGTACCACTGAGCTACATCTCAGCCTCTTTTTATTTTATTTTGAGACTGTGTCTTGCTGAGTTGCCCAAACTGGCCTTAAATTTGTGATCCTTCTGTCTCAACCTTCCTAGTAGCTGGAATCATAGGTATGCATAATACTTATTGGTATATTTTAGATGTACATAATGGTAACATTCATCATAGGGAATTTGTACCAGTACATCTTGCTTCTTTTTTTCCCATTCCCCTCCAACTTCTCTTCCCCTCATTATTTACAAAAGCTTTGTTTTCATTTTTTTTCTTCCTATTCTCTTTTTTCTTGTCCTTTTCTTCCTTTCCCCCCTCCCCTTCTTTGTTGCCCTTCCCATTTGAATATGTTCTTCTCATTTCTCAATATGTACTATACATTTTGGTCCTTATTTACACTTTCAATTTCTCACATCAGAGAAACAATGCAGTATTTAAATATATGTGTCTGATTTATTTCACTTAAGAGTATGGTCTCAAGGTCCATCCATTTACCTAGAAATTTCTCAAGCTTATCCTTTTTTATGGCAGAGTAGTACTCCATTGTATATAAAAACCACATCTTCTTTATCTGTTCATTGGTTGATAAGCATTTGGGCTGTTTCCAAGCACAATATCAATTTTTTAACTGAGACATGATTCACATATCACACAACTCACACTTTTAAAAA